TAATTGTATTTACATTACATTTTGAATACATAGGTCAATTGGTATTCAATCAATTTCTGGAGCTTTATTTTTTGCCAAGTCCTTCGAAGCAGCCTGACCTTCCTCCTTCATCACATTACCTCTTGATCCTATGTTGTTTCTTCAAATTCTTCTGTGTCGGCCAATTCTCTTTGGTACAATGACTGTATATTCCTTCTATCTTTTTTTTAATGCTTTCTGGGTCATTCAACATTCTATCCAAAGCAACTTTAAGTATTGCAACTCACGGCTTGAATTTGCTCTTTAATTCCTTCAGCTTAAGAAATGCTGAGTTGGGCCCTTTTGATTTTCTGACTCCAACTTCTTGCACATTTCACTAATACTTTGCCTTGTCTTCCCAAGCGGCCCTTTTAAATCTTCTGTTCAGCTCTTTAACTTCTTGATTCCTTCCCTTTGTTCTGGATTCTGGGCATTTAGTGCAATATTCAGAGTCTCTTCTGACTTCCATTTTGGTCTTTTCTTCTTCCTCTCTTTGTAATGACGTTTTGCATTCCTCTTGAACGATATTCTTGTTATCTTCCCACAGTTCATCTGGTCTTCATTCATTTGTGTTCAAGGCCTCAAACCTATTCCTGAGTTGGTTTTTAAATCAGAAAAGGACATCATGCTCAGGAGGGTAGAGGGACAGTGCAGGAGAGGAAGACCCCAGATGAGACGGATTGATACAGTAACTGAGGCAATGGGGGTTGGTGTGTCGGAATCAGTGAGACTGGCTCAGCACAGGGCAGTCTTCAGAGCTGTTGCACATAGTTTGTATGGGGTGCAGGCGACTAAACAACACATAATAACACAACAACATTACATTTAGAATTTCTATTGGTTTACCCAATATTTTGTAAGTTTTTTCAAAGTCTTGTCAATCTATGGTAGTTTCCCTGCCAAACAGAATTTAAGAACATATTCAAAATACTTGATAAATGTTCAATAAATTAAATTAAGCTATCTCAACAAAAAAGTAGTCTTTGCCACAATTGCTGTGGAATGTTTGCTCACAAAAGTCCTGAGTTAAAAGTCCTTTTATGAATCTCCAATTAAGAAGTAATCTTTCCCTTATATATGAAATAAAATGACTATGCAAAGTGACTGAGTCTCCAAACTGGACTTAGATGAGGAAGTTAATCTATATACTCTTGTAAAGAACCTGTATTAGGAGTTAGACAAAACTAAAACCCTATTTCTCATATGTAAGACTCATTTATTAACCCTGTGAAACAGCAGGACTGCCTTGTACAGTTTTAAGGCTGGAAATCTTTACAGAACCCAAATGCCACGTCTTTCTGCCAGAATGAGAGAACCAACCTACGAATCACCAATTAAATGCTTCACCATTGTGTCATTAGAGCTTTTTCAATCAATAATATACAGAAATTACAATCTTATACGCACACCATCTTTGCTTCCCTCCTCATACATTTCATGTCACTTATTCTACTAAATTATTTCACTTCTAAGAAAATGTGTTTTGTAAAACCTCATTTGCACTGAAGTTTTAGAAACCAAATCTTCACCAGTATAGTCACAAAAGCTGCTTTATCAGTAAATACTAACCATTAGGGATGCTTTATGTTGTTTGCTTGCTTTTCTTAAAATAGTCGTTAGCCTCAAACGTATGAAGGAAATTTCCAGTGGGTTTGATTTAAAAAAACAAAACAAAAAAACACATGATATAGTATAAGGAACCCAGAAAAAAAGTCTTTTATATGCAACCATATAACCAAACAAGGGAAAGAAAGAAAGCACTTTTTTTTCAAATCTAGTTTATTGAACGACATGATAAAAATGTTACAGTGACCCTATTCTAAAACAAAATTATTTTACTTTAGTTTAGATTTCAGGAGACAATAATATACTTTCAATTGTTGTTTGGTGCTCTCAAGTCAAAACCAACTCATAGTTCACCTTCAAAATAGTTTTCTCAAGTAAATCATATGAAAGGAGACGGCCTATCTTTCTCCCTCAGAGCAGCTGGTGGATTTGAAACACATGCCTTAAGGCTGACCCATCAGGCCACCATAGTTCCCTATACTTAAAATAGTTATCTCTTTCTTGCTTTCTGTGCATCTGTAAGCTGGATAATGAATACAAATGACAGAAAAATTGATGTTTTTGAATTGTGAGAAGAATACTGGTAAAAAAAGCCCCATGGACTGCCAAAAGAACAAACAAGCCTGTCTTGGAGGAGTGCAACCACGTTGTTCCTTAGAGGCTAGGATGATGAAACTTAGTCTCACATAATTATTGTCAGATGGGGCTAGTCTTGGGAAAAAGACATCATGCTGTGAATGATGGAAGTTCAAAGATAAGACTCTCAACAAGACAGACTAACAAAGTGACTATAACAATGAGCTCAAGCTTATCAGAGATAGTAAGGCTGGGGCAGTGTAGGGCTAGGGTCAGATCTGTCATTCATGGGGTCGTTATGAGTTATAGTCAACTCAATGGCACCTAACAACAAGTCTGTAGGGTCATGCCACTCCTCTCTGGTGTTCAAAGCCACTGGCGGTTCCAAGGCAGAAAGACTGACAATCTCTTGTACAATTTGCACCCTCAGAAAACTGGAGTGTCAACTGTAAATACCAATGAGCTTGAGTTTTAGACATTAGATTCTGAATTAGCTTCTTTTGATGCTCTCAAAATTAAATATACTTTTGCAAAACATATCTCATGCTGTCGAGTAAAGAGCATAGGTAACACAACCTCACACAGATTTACCATATGTATGATCTATTCTTACAAACTGCTACTAATTAGCTGTTAGCCACCATTTTGGAAGTGATTTCTCAAAACTCAATAAAGAGTTTTAGCAAAATTTTGGAAAATATCTAAGCTTTATCCTATCTAAATGATAGCCATTTCTTTTTATTGCAATATAAGCATACATATGAAAAATTTTAAACATTAAATTGTTACAAATGAGATATCAATCTTTTAAAAATTAACAGTAAACTGAGAAAATAAGTCCTTTCACAGAATTATAAAGTATACTTACTACTAAATCCTTAGCAAAAAACTCCATAAAACTTAAAATGAAGTTCAATTACTATTTTTTTAACCACAAATAGCATACAGAAATGCATAAATGTGCTTGAAATGTTTGTAAACTTTCTCCATTTAGAAGATGCTTTGGGAAGCAATAAATAAATTCCCTTCTTTAAAAACCAATTACACCCATCACAAATGATCACAGCTGCCATTGTTTCCTATAAAAATAGTTATAAATGAATGCTGATTTATAAAAGGAAGACAATTTTATTCTAGTATAAGTAATAAAATGGAATAATCTCCCTAGACTCAAATAAAGCCAACTTGCTTTCTCACAAGTTCTAATGTTTAAAACTATTTCTAGTTAACAGAATTATCTCTGTTTTCATAAATTATTCTTAATAATTTCAAAATAATTAAACAAACCCCAAAACTAGATTATCTGTTTAGGTGGATTACTGTGTTCTGAAAATATTTTAAGTACAATCTTTTAACATCATTTCCTCTGTAATAATCAAGGATAGTGATCTATCAGAATTATTGACTGTGCACACGCCAGTTAAAGGTCATGGCTCAAATTCCATATATGTAATAGCTGAAGCTTTCTCCTTTCTTTGCACACAACTTTAAAGTAAAAATAAATGTACTCAGAATAAAATTTTTCCTTAAATAGTCTACCACTGAAGGACAGACAAGGTCTTTTTCAATATTTCGTCTACTTTTCACACTGAGGAGCTGCTTGCTGTGATCATACAGTTGAAGTAATTTTTAATGTGATGCACTAACACAATATTATTGCCGAAGTACAGGCAGATTCATAGCAATTACAGCTATGTCCTGAGAGCTACGCTCCAAATGGAAGCTGATGTTTTCTTTGTTCAGTCTTTAGCCATTAAGTTGACTGAGGATGGTAGAGTGTGGAGAGTAAGACATATGGTGCCAGAACTCACATTCTGAAATTATCCAAACTAAAAATAGGTCTCCTTATGTCAGTCAAGGTAGTCTGGTGGTGGTGTGGTTAAAGCATTTGGCTGCTAACCTACATGTCAGTGACTGAGAAAGAAAGTTGAAGCCATCTACCCCAGTAAGAGTTAAACCTTGGGAAACAGTCCTACTCTGTCTTACAGGCTCACTGGGAGTCAGAACCGACTTGAAGGCAGTGGGATGGTGGTAAGTGGTAACCTATTTTCTCCCAAGTTACAAATGTTTTTAATTAGTTTTTCACTGTTTTGAAGATACCAAAATAAAATATAAACAATTATGCCACTTTATTTGCTGTCAAATCTGACTTACTTTTGCACTGTTTTAATAGAATTTAGGAAGAAGACAATTCAAATTAGTTTGTGAAAAATAAAAATTGTTTCTACAGTAGTGACTGACAGTAATCAGCAATATCAAGAATCTAGAATTGTTGAACAAGTTATTCTTTCTGGACTGAGGTCCATACCCATTCTATTCCTTCTCCCAATAGTACTAAAATAAAGTCTGGGCTCTGAAATGTACCAATACTACCATTAAAAACACAAAATAAAGAATTCTGTGGATCAAGTAAACATCAGTTTTTATCCTACTGAGAATACCTTCATTCAAAAAATAGACCAGCAGGTATGTACTAAATGGTTAACAGATTTTTTTTTTTCTTCTTTTTCTTCTTCTCCAATCCTAACAATACAGGGCTGAACAGTTGCTCACTGTTAAAATCCCACTACACTCTCATTTGAACCCTCCTCCACCGGGCTCTCAGTGGGAAGATATGCTGATTTATCCTACCTTTGCTTTATTTCAAGCTCACCCGAAAAACCTTTTCCATGTGTTGTCACAGTGACAAACTTGATTAAGTTGATACAAAGTACAAAGTAAGCATGACAATGATAGTGTCAGGAAGATCCAACATATTTGAGATCAAATCTTATGACTATCACTGTCATAATTCAAAAGTATTTCTTTAGTCAAAATTAGATAGCATCATAAAGACTTATTTAGCACCAACATGTCACTGCAGGCTTTGGTTCAGGCTTCAAGTTAAATCCGTTATCAGGAGGTTGACTAAGCATTAATGGTTTGTGGCTCTTAAGCTTATGAGCCAAGGTCATAAATATAGCTTCCACGTGGTCATTATCATTAGGGTTTTTAGCAGAGGTTTCAAACAAAGGCATACTGTGTGTGTCAGCAAATTTCTGTGCCAAGTCTGTGGGTACCTGTATGGCACTTCTCAAGTCACATTTATTTCCAACAAGAATCCGTGGTATGTCATTGGCTAGCAAATGTTGTTTGCATTCTTCTATCCAAGATGGCAGGCTATGAAAACTAGCCATGTTGGTCATATCATACACAAAGACAACAGCATGAACATTTCGGTAGTAGTGCTGTACCATGCTCTTTCTGAACCGCTCTTGTCCTGCCGTGTCCCATAACTGGATCTGAAAGTAGAAAGAAAAAAACTCAGGAAATTTCATTTTATTCCAATTACATATACTAAGATATTTAATAATTTTTGCTTGCTCTTTAATATTTCTTTATTTAAAATATTTTGATCACTCCCTTCCATCAAGCTTTTTAAAGGTAAGCTAGAGAATTCCTCTTGATATTAATCTTTGTTGTGTGCCACCGAGTCTCTTCAAAGTGATGCTGTATGACAGAACAGATGGCCCTCCTAAGTTTCCTAGACTGTAATCTTTATGGAAGAAGATCAGCAGATCACTCCTTCCCAGGAGCTGGTAGGTTCATTCACTAACCTTTCAGCTAGCAGCCAAATGTGTTTATCAATGCACACCAGACCTCCTTGAAACTAATTAACTGCCTCATAGTAAAGTCATAATATCTCAGTCTTTACTGTTATGTGACATTGAATCATCTGCAACCCACAGGGACTCTATGTACAGCAGCTCTGAAGCCTGCCCTGCTCTCAACCAGTCTAATTCCAATACACCAAACCCCATTGCCCCAATTATGTATCAATCTGTCTCATCTGGGGTCTTCCTTTCCTGCTCTGTCCCTCCACCCTTTCAAGTATGATGTCCTTTTCCAAAGACCAGTCCCTCTTGGCCACATAACCAAAGTATGTGAGACAAAGCTTAAAAATCCTACCCACCAACGAGAGATTTGGTCTCACCCTCTCCAAGACGAGCCTATTTGTTTCCTTAGCAGTCATGATAATGGTATATTCAAGACTCTTCTCCGCCAACACAATTCAAAGACATCAATTATTCTTCTGTCATTCTTAGTCCCTGTACAGCTCTCTGTTGCATAGCAAGTAATTGCAAAGAGCATGGCCTTGATTAGGCTCACCAGAGACTCTAGGCTGACACTGCTGCATTTCAGCACTGGAGAGGTCCCTGACAGTCCCATTGCAATTTGTCTTTTGATTTTCTGACTGCTGGTGCCAAGGGTATTGATTGTAGAGCTGAGCAAGCTGTAATAGTTAACAACTTCAATCTGTCATGACATCTGTAACAGTGCAGCCAATTGGCCTAGAGGCGAGAATCTCTGTCTTGATGTTGAAATGCAATCCATACTGAAGACTTGACCTCGTGCACTAAGCACTTCAGGTCCTCCTCAGTTTCAGCAAGGAAGGTTGTTGATGAGTCTTCCTCCAATCCTAATGCCCCAATCCTCCTCATAAAGCCCTGCTTCCCAAATGATTTGTTCTGCATATAGATTGAAAAGGTATGGAGATAGAACCTAGCATCTGCTAAATTCAAGTAAATTTACTCTGGCAAACACTTTTTTATTTTAATTACTACTTTATTCTCAATACAAATCCTTTCTCCTCAGCATTCTTTTAAAAAGCATAGCTAGAAGCACATTTCCCCCCGCCCCGATTTCTTTTTTTAAAAATTATCTTTTTTTAAATTATTTTTTTAATAATTTTAATGAACATTTACAGAGAATCTGGATTTCCATTCATTCATTGCTGCACTTCTCT